AACGTGCAAATTTCTGAACATTAGCAAGACAACTGAGGAAAAAAGAGGAGAGAAAACAGAATCACCTCAGAAGCAGCATAGAAACCATGCGATTTATTGATATATGCTCACCACAGCAACTTAGCTTGAACTAAATAAGCCGAGTTCTCCTTAAACACTGAGAACCAGTTAATTTATTAAAATTGTCAAAAAAACCACTACAAAACACATTATAGAATCTAAGTACATACATAGGGCAATTAAAGGCAAGATTTTTCATAAGCTTACTACACAGCAAGACTTGGTCATTGTTAACAGACAGCTTTTAGTTCAAACAAAACATTAAATTGTAGACCGAGTGCCTTATCATCACTACATCTGTTTTCAAATTTGGCCTGCGAGAAAGCAATATACTGTGGCAATTTACATTTCCTAAAGTTTTTCAGACTTAGATATCAGAGGTAGCAATTGGTTTTGGTTCCTTAGCGTTTCTTTACAGCACACCCCAAGTACATCAAGGACACGAAATAGGTAGATGATCCAGTATTGCCAATAATCTAACATGTTCCAGGCCTGTCTAAGTTTCTTAAGCAATCCCTTGACATGGCAGGGCAGTGGGTTTTGATCTTTTATTTTCAGTCACAAGCTTGGTTTCCAGCTCCCCACAGTACTATATGACCCGAGACACATGGAAACCAGGCTCCATGGCCTTGGTGTATTTGGTAGTTGCTGTGGAATAGATGGGACAATGATGGAAACCTTCCTTCCAACCCCATCTTCCCGAACAATCAATGAAGTTAAGAGACAGTTTTGACAGGTACCAAGAAGGTTCAACAATTCTGGGATGGCAATGTACATTCTGTGCAGAATTCTCTGAGAGAGACAATCAAAATGGAGAGTAGCAGAGAACTGCGCTATTGTAATACTTACTGGCAGCTTTAGCAAAGAGCACGTAGCACTTCGTAGCTTAATAGTGCCAAATTAACACAGATCAACTACAACTCCAAACAAGGACCAATAAAACTGCAGTCGTCTACTCTTTCTACTCTTCTACATTTTGCTCTCCGAGAACTTAAACTCAGGGCATGAAGGACAGCCTATTCTTTTGTTATTGTTGTTCTTAGATATATTTATGTAAGTTTAAACCCAAGTATAAGAACAAAGATAAACAAAATAAATACTTACACATTTACTAATGCATTAAGCAGACTGCAAAGTCTAATATCATCCAAAGTAAAAAGAAAGCAGACAACTTGCTGGGTTCATTGAATAGTTATGTATCTCACAAAAAACATTAAAAAATGCAGATCTATTAAATACAAGAGAAAGAAACCTGACAGCAGTCAGATAGAGTATGTTATTGCTTTTACTAAAATGTGAGGGTTTTGTAAATATTTTCAGCATTATTTACCTCAAATAGACCAACTATTTTTCAAAGCATCCAATTAATTTTGCAGCATCTCACTATTCAGTAAATAATCACTGTAGCTTGGCATATTTATAAATCAAGAAAAGAAAAATATTTTGAAAGAAGTATCACAGCATGGGAAGACATCTTGTTGTCTTTTGCATATTTCCCAATTTGAAAGCATCTTGGTGTGATATTAGACATTTGATGAAATAATTGCTTTCCAGATCTCTAATTTTGTAATTCAAATATGCAAATTTACTGAAAGTAAAGCAAAGATAGATGCCAACTCAAAAAAAACCCAAAACAACAAAAAAACCCATAGTAATTGCTGTATTACAGGACATTTATTGGACAACCAAGAGTTACGATTGCTACAGTTTGGCAACAATCTCTCTAATGTCACTATACATAAAACAGCCATCTGGAGAACTGGTCTATCAGTTCAGGAGCCAGTAGAATGTGCAGCAAATTTGATATCACAGGTTCAAAGCAGCTGCCTAAAATTATGTTGTTCTTTGGTACTGTATTTTTGGGAAAGGAAATATAGTAAACAGCCTGAAGTTACACGTAATGAATTTTAGAAAGAACCTTAATGAGATGTTAGCCTTTTTCATTGCAGTTCTATTGCTAAGAGCGAGGAGAGGCAGTTCACCATTTCCACTGTAGTCTCTGTAAGCCTTCAGCAATTGTCTCCCATACCACACTAGAAGACTGGTGGGAAAACAGTTCTAATTTACAGCTATATTGAATGACAAAAAAAAGCAGCTACTTCAGCTTAAAAAAAAAAAAAAAAGTATATGACACATGGTTACTACTGCTGGCAAGAACTTTAATGCTGCCTGCAAGAACTGAATCTGATTTTAAATCTGTGGCCTTATCATTTCTTGTGACATGATTACTGTCTTACATGCATAAAGGGAGATTTTGATCAAGCATTGCCTATTTTAAAGTTTAGGGGTTTGGTGTTTTGGTTTTTTGTCACTCTAGAAGGATGAGTGACGGACAGAAGATATTACTACAGAAATAAGTTCCCCCTTCAAAAATATTTTAGGTAAATGAATATTAGTTTGATTGCAGAATAAAGTATTCTCTATGAACTAATTAGGAATAAGAAGGAATTAAAAAAAATTGCAGCAATCCATTTCCTTGTAGACCTGTCTTACACACTAAGTGCAAGATTCATGGCCACTTGACTCTTGCTCACCACTGCAAACTTGCACCTATTGCATAGGCTGCTACAGTTTGAAGAATCTTCTCCTTTTTGAGGCCACATGTGCCCAACAACTTACCCACCTGCCACCCAGATGCATCAGACACACGTGATCCCACAGCAGGAGAACAGTTATGATGTGTTTTTCTAACCAAATTTTGTCCTCAAAAACCAAAGCAGGGGATACATGGTGCACAATAGCCCATCAAGCTCTGTATACCTACCATATCACACCTGCACGATCTCACACCCTTGGTCAGAAAGGATCAAAATATTTGGCTAAATACATCTGCCTGGTGCATTTGACTTTGCTGGATCTGCACAATGGAGTTTTCTAGAGGGGAAGTCTACAAGACCGGTCACTACAGACCACAACTTTGGACTCATACTATTGTTTGTACTGAAACTTTGGGCCAAAAAAGCATTTTGCAAAATACTGCACAAACATAAAACAAAAACATATGTAGCCAGTCGTCCTCTCTTCCTGCTCTTTTCTCCTTATTCCTTCAGTATGCTTACGTATTTTCCTAAAGGAGATGGCGAAGAACTGTATGAATTATATAACAGAATAATAACTACATGAATTCTAGTTTGTGTAACTTTTAGGGATAGCTGCTTATCTGCCACAGCAATGCAAAATACCCACATTCCTCCAGATAAAGCACAGAACTAGCTGTTTACATCATCTGTCCAATGCAAAGGGCAATAGCTTTATACAGCGTGGGCTCAGGCTGTAAACTGTTATTTTTGGGTGGGGATGGGTGGAGGGAAGTTAGCAATAGCTAGCAGCAAGAAGCATCTTTTTTTTTTTTATATATATAGAAAGATGTCTTTTTTTAAGATACGTGTGAATTCTCTTCCGGTACAATGTAGAAAACAAATAAACAAGATATTATCACAAGGCAGGCAGAATACCACATTACGTGCAAAATACACAAGTGTCAGCGGAGGCTTAGAAAGCAAATACTAACTTTTAATGAACATTTTGACAGTTCTCATCTTTTTTTTCTGGGGAGGAGATTTTTTGAAGCTGTATCTCCTCAGACTGACAATCTTTTCCTTTAGAATTCTCTTTTTTTATGTGTTCCTATATGATTTCTTTCTTACGGATAAAGCCAATGACTGCCCAAATGGAAAGCTGTCAACACGCAGAACATAATTCACAGAATCATAGAATCCTTAAGGTTGGAAAAGACCTCTAAGATCATCGAGTCCAACCGTCAACCCAACACCACCATGCCCACTAAACCATGTCCCTAAGCGCCTCATCTACCCGTCTTTTAAATACATCCAGGGATGGTGACTCAACCACTTCCCTGGGCAGCCTGTTCCAATGTTTAACCACTCTTTCAGTAAAGAAATTTTTCCTCACATCCAATCTAAACCTCCCCTGGTGCAACTTGAGGCCATTTCCTCTCGTCCTTTTGCCAGTTACTTGGGAGAAGAGACCAACACCCACCTCGCTACAGCCTCCTTTCAGGTAGTTGTAGAGAGCAATGAGGTCTCCCCTCAGCCTCCTTTTCTCCAGGCTAAACAACCCCAGCTCCCTCAGCCGCTCCTCAGAAGACTTGTTCTCCAGACCCCTCACCAGCTTCGTTGCCCTTCTCTGGACACGCTCCAGCACCTCGACGTCCTTCTTGTAGTGAGGGGCCCAAAACTGAACACAGTATTCGAGGTGCAGCCTCACTAGTGCCGAGTACAGGGGCACGATCACTTCCCTACTCCTGCTGGCCACACCATTTCTGATACAGGCCAGGATGCCATTGGCCTTCTTGGCCGCCTGGGCACGCTGCCGGCTCATGTTCAGCCGGCTGTCGACCAACACCCCCAGGTCCTTTTCCGCCAGGCAGCTTTCCAGCCACTCTTCCCCAAGCCTGTAGCGCTGCATGGGGTTGTTGTGGCCAAAGTGCAGGACCCGGCACTTGGCCTTGTTGAATCTCATACAGTTGGCCTCGGCCCATCGATCCAGCCTGTCCAGGTCCCTCTGCAGAGCCTTCCTATCCTCGAGCAGATCAACACTCCCGCCCAATTTGGTGTCGTCTGCAAACTTACTGAGGGTGCAGTTTCAGCCCACTGGCTCTTTAAAAATGTCTGCAATATCATGCTTCTAAGGCTCATTTCATTAATTTCTACCATGACTGAGAAGCTTTTTTTAATCAGCTGTGGATCTGACACAGGAAAACATCACATCTCTCATTAAATCCAGCACAGCAAAATCCTGGTTTGGCCACATCTCATTGGACCCTCTTTAAAAAAGGTGGTCATTTCATAGTGACAACTACAAAACAGTAATGGTGAACGTGGTCTGGTAAACACACTAATGTACAAAAAAAAAAATTACGTATTTCATAACATACATATTTCTGAAGTAGCCTTGCCTCTTCAATTTTCTACACTTACCTTGGTAGACTTGTCAGCACTATGTTCTCGTTTTCCTACATGGTTCCCCATGATGGATCACCAGAACTTCAAATTCTGAAAAGATAAAACCAAAACAGCATTTTTGAAACCAATACATTGTACTGAAATACAAATTAATTTTTCATCTGACACAGAACAAAGAGATAGTTCTCATACAATAAGCATTTTTACAGTCCAAGGTAAGATCTGTGAAAAATCCTAGGGGGGGGGGGGAGCTTATCTGTTCTCTTTTGCAAATCTAAGCAATACCAGAAAGCTTTCCAAAAAAAACCCAGACAGACATAAGCAGAGGAGGAAAAGTAAGGTGTTTATTGTGAAATTTGCACAGAAAACAAAACTAGATTAGAAATTAGGTAGAGGCCCTGTCTTTCAATATTATGTTTATAATACCAAAACAGTGTAATAAGTATCAAATGATCTGTAACTACAAACTTCCATAAAAGATCAAGTAAATTCTTTCAAATTCACATTTGCCATTATATAAACAGCAATTACTGAAAAAAAAGCACCACACTAAACTGCTAACAATTTGCTGTGGAGGTGAGAACAGATATGTTCTTTACAGCCCACACTTTCATGACAAGTATATAAGAAAGGAATGCCAACTCTTTCTTTGTATTTTCTGGCTCATCCTGTTGCATCTCAGCTTTAACAGAGCTTATGTAGGTTAAACCACAACACTCAAATTTCAGCTTTTAGCGTACGCTCGTGGTTATACTACATATTTCTTCTCATAGAAGCATGTGTTTGTATAGGATCTTATACACAGCTGCTGCCTTCAGCCAATTTAAACGCAATGCAAGGTAGCATTTAAAGTCCTAAAACTTAAAACTACATGCAAAAGAAGTTTCAAGTGGACTTTTTCCTCTCAGAATTATGAGCTGAACTTTCAGTAATAAAGTTCAATTTCTGGTGCTAACAGTAACACTTCATTACTCTGCAATAAACAGAGGTTATACCATAAAACCTTAGCATCAGAAACCCTGGCACAACACTCTCGCTATCAGAGGGCTAAGTTATTTCATTAAGCATAATCTTATGAAAAGGCTTGGGAGAAAAGGACAACCAGGCCTTTGCTGTGATAGAAAATGCATGAAGTAAAACAACAGGCTATTAACCAGTTACACTTGGCAGAACATACAACTATAGTTATAACCCCAGCTACACGGGGTTATTTGTGAACCAAAGGACTCTAAAGATAGAGACTTTGATTACTTCCGACTTTCCATCACAGAAATATGTACTTTATCAAAAGCAATCTTGTCCTGTATCTCTACTGCGACTTTTGGAGAGACTGATAGATTTATTTCCCCCACCCTGATGATAAATTTTCAGATTAGTGAGGGTCTGCAGTGCTTATTTGATTATTCACCGAATTCCATTTGCTGTAAAATCAAAGTGCCACATATCACTGTATCCGATTATTCCTCACAAATATCCAGGTCTAAGGTCTCGCAAAGGAAAAATTAAAGAACATCTAAACTCAGTAAGTGTACTGAAGGTAGTGTTTATTGGCAAACTGGGAAACAGACTTTTTTTTTTTCCCCCCAACAGTGCTATCTATTGCATAAAAGAGTAAAAGAAAAACCTTATCCTTTCAAACTGTGAAATCAGCAAAACCAATTCACATTTTTGTGAGATTATGAAAATTTTCAAGGAAAAATACAAATAAATTCATATACACTGGGTTTCAGAGCTGAAATACCTCAAACTGGCCTTTCCTCTACAAATTATGAGCAGCACATCACCTCTCACATCACCTACTTTGCAACATAAGGAAAACAGAGTGGAATACAAAACTATAGGAAATGTCTACAGCGGAATATAAAGGCTTAATGTTCCAAGTGTTACTCTTCCAGTCATTTATCGAAAGATTAACTATCAGTCTTGATCTGTAATACACATATGTTTAAGTAAACAGATTATGGAGCCAACGTAACACTTGCAAACCAGAACTCCGATCACTGTCCTCCTGCCTCCCCTTTGTCTCTCTGGTGCCTTCGGAATAATGCTCCAGGAACAACCATCCTGTACCCATGAAACACTGAGCATGGCAGAGTCCCAGTCCTGCAATGCCAAGGTAGAAAAAGATACCAGATATAGACGAGCTACGCTGTGAAACTAAGCCAGATAAATGTTTAAAAATCATCTGTTGGCCAGTGAAAAGAAAAGCAATAAAAACTTCCATGCTGCCACACCGCAGATACCTGAAAATGGTAAGGCCAGTTTTCTGCTCAAATATCTGCACAAAGCAAGCAAACAAAACGAAAACCAGGCAAATGGAGAAGTGTATGAAATGGCTGATCAACATACTCCTGATTCCCATATACATAATTCCTTCAGCAAGATGCTAAAAATTACATATGGAAGGGAAGAAAAAAAGAAAAAAGCTTGGAGAAATGGAAATGCACAATGCTACTGAAAGTTTAGGAGTACGGTTTGAGAGCACACCTACATCTGGGCCAACTGTTATGTTTCTCTACAGGAACAGACTTAAAAGCTGAAAACTAATGGCATTGATTAAGCCTGTAAATCTGCACTTCTGTTTCCTTTATTGTTTTGAATATGTCAGAGGGACAGCGTGTGGTCAAAATTCACATGATCAACCCCTCCTTATTCTCATCTCATATCCAGAAACTAATACAACTAGATTTTACTTCATCTTTTTCATGCATATATGAATGCAGATGTTTAGACTCAAGATAAGTTAGCTATAGGTACCTGCTATAAATTCCTTACGTAGAGACAAAGCTACTTTTTAGCCAAAGGGACAAAAGCAACCAGCCAGATAGCAAGAATATCTTAAAAGTTACAGAATTCTTCGTGTTACCTATTAAATGGAGAAAACTTAAGTAATCATTTGAGAAAAAAGGCTTCCAAAAAATCTGACATTAATTAAGAAAGGAAACATATAGTGCTAACTGTTCTGTAGATATCTGATTAGGAAGCAAAAACATACACACACACGCCTGTAAACATTCAAATCATTTACAGCAACAAAAAGACCTAATATTTCACTTTAGCCTCAAGCAGAAGTCTGCCTTACTTGATTGAAAACTGAGCACACGGGTCATTTTCACTTCAGCATGCAAGTACATCCTGAAGTGTTAAGACTTAAACACTGATTTTGGTTCTTACTGTCGTGAGGAGACCACACTGCACAGGTTCCACCTGCGCCAATCTTTATGCAATGAGTTGAGTCACTGACTTCAATGGGATTACTCATTGTACGATCTCTGTAGGAACTTGCAGCCAACTATTCAAAAAATCTGAGCTGGAGAAATATTTGTATTTTCTTTTTAGTCACCTTCACAACATACAGGTTGCCAGACTAAGCAGCTCTGTATATGGCGAAGAAGCAGCTTCTTCTGCTTATTAACAAATGTCAGTCAACTGATCAACATTCTTGTTTGCAGAGGAATCCGTACACGCTTTAGCACCAATAAACAGCCACAAGAACAGTCATGAAGCTCCAAAACAATGCAAAACCAGAAGTACTGTAAAAATACAGTAACCTTCTTTGAATCCAACGTGAATCATCTAACAATAGGCTGCCAAAATAGGCCTGAGCGTGAGATCAAGCTTATGACCGCAACAGCACTTGCCCGAAACCTTCCTGGTGAAACCCTGCAAGTTTCGTAAATCCTGTGAGATGAAAGATTTTGCACATGCGCTTGAGTCACAAAATGAGAGGGGACACTACGCAGGTCTGCGGCAATCGGAGTACAGCACCAGCTCCCATATAAAACTCCCCACCAAGACTGTGGGTTTCAGCATATTGAAACCACCTGAGAGGCTCAGGAAATAACAGGCCATGCAAGCAAACTGATTTAATAGGACTAAAAGTTGAAAACATTTCAGCTACCTAACAACTCTTTTGGGTGAAGTGAGTGAATTGCAGCAGGAAGCTGTGAACCGCCGCTGCAGACACCACCACCAGTCACCTAGCCGCCTCAGTACTACACCACAACCACGTACCGAGCTGAATCAGCTCTGCTGCCAAGACACAGCTGCTTCCCAATCAATGACTGATACAGAAATAATTCCAACTATCCAGGCTGCTTCAGGTAATTCCAAAAACAGCCCAGGGATTTTGCCTGAGGAAAGAAAATAAAGTGTCTCCTCCCATCAATTTACCTTCTTACGGAAGTCTAACAGGTAACCTGATGGAAGCCTAGACCACTGCTTTCCCACTTTCTTCACAATAGGAAGCCATATTCCAACTAGCAACAACTACAGAAATGCCACTGCCTTACCCAAGGAGAGAAACTTCTCCTTGCTGTCTGCCAAACACAAAATAAAAACCAAACAAATACAAAAAGGGCTGGAAGAACTCAGCCCTACACATCACATTCATAAACAATACCTACAAAAATACACATATGTTGGGATCATGTAACTTATTTCTCTTCATCTGAACAGTTGATTAAAAATAGGGTTTTAGAAACATGTATCATCATACCATTTTCTTTAGCCCATTCTAGGTTGCCTTTTGAAATTAAATGGATATTTGTAGTTAAGAAAGAGGTTCTAATCATCTTCCCAGACACACACACATAGTCCTATAAAGAGGTTTACATTATGATTTAGAATTTTCACTGAAAGGCAGAAAAATGCTTCTCTAAACTTTTTGAATATACCAAGAAATGCAATGGTATCACTTTCTGTAGTGATAGCATTTTCTTACTCACTCACGGGAGCCTGAGAAAAGTTCACCCCTTGTAATCGTCAGACTCATTATAGGTTTTTTTATATTCTAAATACAAACAATAAACTTCAGCCCAGGAGATGGTTTACAGTGACAGCTCACCAACTGTAATTCAGGAGTTACAAGAGGCTATAAGCCAATGCACCTGGAGCACCTTTATTGAACATTAATGGTTACTTCATATTAAAATACATAAACTACCAAATGTAAATCACAGGATGCTGCATATGGATTGTTAAATATGATCCTTGAAGAGTAATTTAGTTATGTAAAATAAAGGTTCAGTCTTACCTCTTCCCACACACTTAATTATGACTCAACAGATCTA